GATCTTTAATCTTTATACCCTGCGAAGTAATAACGCTAGACCAATACAATCCAATTTTCTTAATATCCCTGATCCCTGTGAAACAATAATCCTCGAACGCTAGATTTTGTTTTTTATATCCTACAAACCCTGTAAACGGTAAGATAATTACTGGGGACCCTATATTTTGATTTTATCAATCCACCATTTCTGTACTCTACGAAGTTTAACTCTAGTTCATTATATTCGGTTTTGCTCAGCCCTCAAACCCTGTATCATGTATAACAATATCGCCAGATTATTACATCCCAATTAGTTTAACCGACAAACCGTGTACCCTATGGGGCAATGGCTCTAAATTACTTAAATTCTTTTGACTTAATCCACAAATCCTGCGAGGTTTTAACGCTAGCCAGCTGAATTTTCTGAGCCCGTAAACCCTGTACCTTTACGAGGGGTATTGGGTTAATTAAAAATTAATATAACGTTCCAGGTTTCTTGCTTGTCGGGAAACATGTTTTGTATGTTAAGGAAATTGGTTGTAGCTGTCTGGGATTATGGTCTGCAGAGTGCATTATTTGTGGGTTAAAGGCATGCTTCAAAAATTATGATTTTTTTTAATTTAGTTCTCTAGGAAACTTTAGACTGACACTTCTTTTATTAAAACCGAAATTTGTCATACATTAATCCGACGACTAAGCTTTGAGAGAAAAATAGCTTTTAGAAAAATGAGTCGTTGAGGCTGAAATATTCGAGAAGTGTATTTTCGACGACAAATATATCCTTACTTTTTGATCACATCTCGTACATACTGCTGAACAATTGATGAACTCTATCTTCAACTATAAATAACTTTTTAGTAGTCGTTTTTTCCTGAAAAATAGTATGGCATTTATAAGTCGTTGCTAGGAAAATATTTACCTAGAATTGTATATCAATTAAATAGTATAAATAAAATTATTATCAATTTAGAATAAATCACGTGAATGGTATATAAAAATTCTGGATAATGTGTATAATGCAAATCAGACTATCACAATTTTGATGCAAGCCTCTAAAAAAATACAAACGAATAGATTCGATGGAGAATAAAAGATGAATAACAATAGTATACGTATATTGTTCGATGGTAAAACTGTGGATAGATTTGATGCATGAATTTCTTAGAGATAGTACATTTAAAAACTATCTAACATATAAGAAAGTTTATAGTTAAATTTTACATATAAAGTCATGGCTACCAAATATATTGTAACAGAGTAGATTTTATTGTTAGGACAATATGATATGTCGAAGGATATATCTTCTGTGAGAATATGCGTATGACAAAACAAGCAGTTGTGAACACAAACCGACGTTAGGATTGTTCTGAACAAGAAAAATATACAAAAATGGTCAAGGGTTAGAAGATCAAATATTTTTCTTCATATTTGTTATCGTTAAAATTTTACTGCTATAAAATATTTTTGCTTATAAGTCAATTGCTATTTTGTAATTAATATATTTCCTGTAACAGTTTTGTCGTTTATTTCAAGATAAAATAATTTTTTTCTGCAAATATAGAACACAATTTTTATTTTTCAAATAAACGAGATGGCTACAAATAATTTATTCTAATCTATTTTAAGTTGTTTATTCCGTTCTTTCATCTAGTAAACAACAAACATCAATATCATACATATTAACATAGAAAATCAATAACGTAGACACCGCGTAGAAATCTGAAAAAAATATATTATACTCGTACGTATAAGATTACTTATCATGTAATGAATAATAAGATAATAGCAAACACTTGCTACATACTAATTGCATCAAAAACCACATTTTTCAAATTTCTTAATTACTAGTGTAAAAATTATTTTAATTTAATTATAAGATGGGTATTTGGTGTTAACCAATCTAAAGGGTCAATAGTCGGTAAAGGCTGTCGGCCGTTCTGGGAAGCCGAACCATTCAGCGGGACACTGACCGGTTGCACCTACCGGACATGCAGGGAGGGTACGCGCCGCATACGCGGAGTGAGATAGAAAGAGTCAGTCTAAGAGAGAACTCTTACAGATTCACGTGTGGTGATAAAATCGAGACCCGTCTGTGAAAATTTGACGAGAAACTACACCGCAACACGCATGCCTTTTTTCGGATACCGAATTCCCATACAGATTATCGCAAGACTGTTCAGTGAGCTATATTCCCGACAGTATCGGAAAAAGGCATTTTAAGAGAGCGTTTCAACAGAACTCGAAAACCAGGATCAGCTGACTTCACCGGCAATCGGATAGATAGCCTAAGTAACATACAAACGAGAGCAGAATTCGCTAGGTAAGCTGGCCAGCTCCGCGTAATATGCTTGCATGTTAGAAGTTAAATCGCCGGTCGATCTCACGCGAGCTCTCAAAGCGAGTAATGATAATTGCGCGCAGATGTAAATTCATTGTAGGCGAATGATCGTTGCGTGCGGGAAGAAGTTAAAAATTAACCTCCACACCAAATATAAAAGACAAGCATTATTGATCAGATGGTTTAAGGTGAGTTGACCCCAGGGAGCAACGTGAAATTGGACAGAAGTATCAGTAGTAAAGGCAAATACACGCATATATATACGTACTCAACTGCTGTTCGTTATGTCTCTCTCTCTCTCATATTATAATATACCTTTGTAAATTAAATATGTGTTAATAGGAGGGGGGTCAATAAGTCTTTACAAAAAGAAGGAAAAGAAAGTTTTGCGTATGTAATTTTTTTTTATTTTTCAACATAATCTCCTTGAAGGTCGATACATTTTATTAAATAGCCTTCCAGTTTTTTTAAACCATCAGAAAAATATGATTTCTGAAAATCCTAAAAATAGGCATTTATTTCGGCGATGACTTCTTCATTCGAATGAATCGTTGTCCGGCAAGCCATTTTTTAAGGTTAGGAAAGAAGACAAAGTTACTGGGAGCCAAATCAGACGAATATGGTAGATGATCAATTAATTCGAACTTTAAATCGTTAATTTTTGCCATCGAAACTGCACACGTGTGAACTCGAGCATTGTTTTGAAGAAAGAGGCATTGTTTTTGTTCAAGTGAGGACGTTTTTCTCTGATTTTTTCTTTCGCTGACCTAGTAATGACGCATAATATTGTCCAGTGATCGTCTGGCCCTTTTCCAAATAGACGATGTAGATGATTCCATACGCATCCCAGAAAACCGTGGCCATAATCTTGCCAGCTGACTTTACTGTCTTTACTTTCTTTGGGGCTGGTTCTCTTGCGGTAATCCATTGTTTGGACTGTTCTTTGGTTTCAGGAGTGTAGTGGTGTACCCATGTTTCGTCTACAGTTACGAGTCGACGCCAAAAGTCTTCCGAATTACGACGTATGCGTGTCAAAAGAGCCTCAGAAGTGACTACGGGGATTCGTTTGTTTTCATCAGTAAGCAAACGCGGCACCCATCTTGCTGATATTTTTTTCATCCCTAATTTTTCATGCAAAATTGAAATGATTGTACCCTTTGATACCCCTGTGGTCTCAACTAATACTCACAATTTTAATCTTCTATCACTCAAAACCATAGTGGATTTTGTTGACCATTTCGAGCGTACTCATTTCTACGGGGCGTCCTGAATGAGGTTCATCTTTTGTTGTTGTACGGTCGCGTTTGAATTCATTTACCCAGTTATAAACAGTCTTAAACACAGGGTCAGACTTGCTATGAACGGCGTTCAACTCAACTGTGACTTCTTTTGGTGTAAGGCCTTTCAAATGAAAATGTTTTATCACCGCGCAAAACTCTTTTTTTTCCATTTTTCAAATAAACCAATAACTTTTTGTTCAACCAACGCTCACAAAAAAATGACTTACAATTAGTGAATCGAGCTGAAACTTTGTACGATATCTAGTTAGTAGTATTGCTTGCCAAAATCATCATAATTTAAGCGTTACGAGCGCCATCTCTTGGATTTTGTAAAGACTTGTTGACCCCCCCTCCTCGTATGTATCACTAAGTTTCAGTGGGCTGAAGTGAGGTAGGTGAGAGAAAGAGAGTCATACAGAAATAGAGAGAGAGAGAGACGGGTTCGATTATCGAACGCGCGGACCACGAGAAAAGCGCTCGGTTTCTCGGCGCGAGAGATTCAGCTTGAGGCTTTGACGTGAACAGACGTGCGCCGGCTAGCGATCTCATCCCCTTTGTTTAGTATACTCAAGCTTTCGGCAACCAGATCGACAACGATATCCAGGAGAAGAGAGCTCGGAGAGTAGAAGGATGAAGGAAGAGAGTGAGTATTTGTGTGCGTGTGACGGCCTTCTGCCAACGGCGCCTGCCGGGGCAGCGATTTGTAAGTACCGTCGCGCATCTTATCTCTCTCTTATTGGCTTCTTGCTTTCTCTCTCACTCTCTTTGCTTTGCCGTACATACGTATACATATTTCTTTTCTTGTTTGTTGTAACACCCGTGTTATTGCGAATAAATACCTCATCTACTGTTCTCGCGCGATTTGTTTTTAATTCATTAATCCACTTATCCTGTCGATCCCTCTAGTTTCGCGTTTAGGTATGCGGGTCTAGCGCCTCGACCTGGCATTGGAGCCACGACGCCCCGACAACACCTGATGGACTGAAGTTCCAGGTAGGAGACAAGCCGAGCCATCCTGCCTGAGCAAGCCCTGATACATCTAATTTCTTTCCACTATCATTTATTATTTATCCTCGTTACAGTACTTAACAGGGGGGCGGGTATCTTTACAACGAGGGACTTTGTGCGCTTATGCCCTCTCTATGCACTAAAAATCCCTCCACTGTTACACATAATATAATAGAAATAAATTTAGTCACCTAAATTAATGTAGATAAATATATTTGGAAGAAAATTGGAAAAATACCTACAATAATTAATATTTATGTTCTAGGATAAATTATTACAATGACTAATCAGATTTAAAAAGTATAACCACTTTAATCAGATATCAGATGACATACTGAATCATTCAAATCTATCTATTTCAGTATTTATTAATATGACATTATTCATTTACAGGTTTGTGATAATAATCCAACCGATGAAAATCAATTGGAATACGATGAACATAATCCATTCACACTATGCGCAGCATCTTACAAACCTATTTATAAAGGAAAAACTGGAGTGAAATGCCCATTTTGCCATGCATCCTACCAAGTGCTGTTCAAAGGTCAAATTTGCAATATTTGCGAAGTAGCAGAAATTGATAAAGAATGTAGTGGATTAAAATTAACTTTTTTACATAAATGATTAAAGTATTTTACGTGAATCGTAAAATACCAAAGCTGTATTGGTTACATAATACAAAAGGTAAATTGGATTAAAAAATTTAGTGATTTTGTTAACGATAAATATATAGTTCAATTTAGAAAAATGTACGCGAGAGAATATATCCATTACATTACTGCAGACCACTTTTTTTATATAGCTACTACCTTCAGCTAACTTCTATAAATTATTAAACATAAGTAACCAATAAATTGCAATAAATTAATCGTTAACCTTCAAAATCATACATTAAATAATTCTTCTTAATAAATCCAATTAAATGGTGGTTTTAATTATTTATAGTTTTACAACAAATAAACCCTTGTCCTTCAAAATCATGTATTAAATTATTATTTTTCCTAATTAACTCATTAATTCTAGTCAATTATGATTATAAAAAATTATTATTAAAATTCTCATATATGGTAACGACATGCACCTAAGCTTCATGTAAAGTTCAATGATTTGACAGACAAAGGCTGACAAAAGTTAAATGACACCATTGTACCAATGATCCCTAGCACCTAACTCAGTATTCCATCGCCTGGAAGACTCTAAATACTTCCGTTGATTGTATGTGCCTCCTGCTAATTCTATATAAACATGTACCATGCATGATGGCACCCGTTCATATAGATGAGCCACAGACGTATGAAACGATAGATTCTAATTAGCAGATGAGGAACATTTCCATCGTGATAAACGACGTGGAATATTCTTGACTAGCAAGATGTTACAGTTCACAATTGCGCAATTTATTCTCGGGCCTAATCCCCTAAAGGAATTGCGCTGAGTGAAGAAGAAATAATCCAGGTGGAACATTTTCCGTAACTACAACAGAAGTCAAAGTCTCTTCCCCCGCGTGATTATACTGTTACGTCTTACGACGCATCCTTTTTATAAAATGCACATTCGCGAAATTCAAAGCTACTAAACTATTCGCACGTCAGCAAAAGCTAACTAAACGCGAGGTAAATGACTCTCCGAAATTAAGCCTTACGACGCATCCTTTTTGTAACATATGCACATTCAAAACTGCTAAACTATTCACACGACAGCTAAAAGCTGTCGAAACACACTCCGAAACTAAGTCACCAAAACGCAAGAATTTATAATAAGCGAAAACAAAAATGTCACACAATATCGCAATACTGACCTGAAAAGAGCTATAAAAGATATAAAAAGCAATGAACAAATTACTCAGTCAGTTGATCAGTAGTCCGTCAGTCAGTCAATAAGTACCTGTAAGACTCAACTCCGTACACACTCGGTCCGACAATTGGTGATCATTTTACTTAATAAACTCGCGACTGTTACAAAGTAATATCGTGCAAGTATTATTCAACAACCTATCCTATTCAATTCAACAAGCAGTTCGAGCCTGCTACACTCATACAATTCAACAAGCAGTTAGAGCCTGCTACACTCATACAATTCAACAAGCAGTTAGAGCCTGCTACATTTTATCAACAATTAAAAGCTACGATTATCAAGGTAGTACAATTATCAGACATACATTTCCACATACATTTATTATAAGTGAGACATATCCAACCACTAGTCAACATATTAGAACGTCTCATTCATTAGCTATTCGTAGTTGATGCACGAGACGTAACAACACATTTAAGTTAGTGGCCAAAAATACCTCTGTTACCCTTTTCCTCTCTGAGAGCCGCAAGTGTGATTCCTCCATAGAATAAGCGCCACCGGTAGGAGGAAGCGAAAAATAAATACAAGCCTTGACTGTCGCACTAACAGACGAGAGCATGTCGTGAATCCGGAAAAAAATATCGTGAACGATATAAACAGCCCAGTATGGATCAAACGAAATTGGAACAGCATTAAAGCTCACAGTGGAGGGGGATATTTCTACCGTCATGTTTGTAGAGGATAGTGCGAGCAGTTATCAACTGCTGACTCCGTCTTTCTTCCTGAAAGATAGAATGGTAAGTACTAAATTTTCTGTCAGCGACCTTCAGGGCCGCCTATAGTTTTTATTGGCACAAGCTAGCGAATCCGAAAGTAGTTCGAAGGACTACCTTCATCGATCAATGAATGTAGCAAGCACCAGAGTCATTCCTTGTTTCCATGCCGACGGCTAAATAGTATACACACTAATCGAACGCAATAATAAGGTTAGGATGAATAATCAGATAGATCGAAAAAAAACTGTAACGCTCAGTTAATATCGATCCATTTTATTTAAACATTTGCCTGGTACATGAGTGATTCCACAAATTTGATGAAAAAAAAAAGATAATGGTACATTTAAGAAATGTAATTTTCATATAATTTGACACATATGAATTTAAAAAAATATGATATGCATAATTATTTTTTATGTTGTCAGAAAAATAAATTAATATAAAGACTTTTTTTCCGCAAAATAATTCAAAAGTATATAAGTCTATAAGATTTTTTTTAAACAAACAATTAAATTTAACAATATTTATTTTTATTATTATATCTACGTTTATTTACAATCTGCCTCGTATATTGAGGCAATAAGTAATTTGATTACAGTTTAGCGAAAAAATATACATGATGTTTAATAGAATACTCCATTAAGTATTCTATCTTTTTTTTACAAGGTGCTTATAAAATTACAATTTATTTATTTATTTATGTATTCAGTATCTTATGTTTCTTCAATCTGGTATTTGTAATGGATATCTCGAGTAGCTTGTTGACAAGTTTATTCGGGTGATTTTGAAGTCTGGAATTATATTTTTCGTAGAATATTTTAATTTAGCGAAGATGTCTTCTTTCCATATAAGTATTCGGTCTAGGTGAATACCTAAGTATTTTAGTTGGTTACTTTTTGGGATGTATTTGTTATTTAGTGTAATAGGTGGATAAGTACCTTTTCAAAGTGTAAACGTTATATGTATTGATTTACTTTCACTTACCGTTATTCTCCAGGAATTTAACCATCTTTGAAGATGATTATTTGTGTATTATTGTAATGCTTCTGATGCAATTGTTGGTTCGGAGTGTGTTGTGTAGGAAAATAGCGTAGATGTAAGCATGCATTAAAAATAATTTTTATGAACTTCATTGCTATTACGGCTAACATTTTAATCATTTTGCCAGTAATATTATCATATCCGGGGGCTATCATATTTTTAATATTATTAATCAGAGACTTCCGGTCTCGAGCTCGAGCGGGAAAGAGGCATGTGAGACGTGAGCTGGCAATCTGAGTAGCGAAAATAAGGCAAAACTGAGCAAAAATAGTTGAAAAGTGAAGTGGTATACCGAGAAAGAGTGGATTTATCGACCTAGTTAAAAGAAAGTGAAGAAAGAGAGAAGATAAGAAGAAGAGTGAAAATAAGAGGAGCAGCAAAAGTGAGGTTATGGAAGCAGCAAACATGGATGCGGAGGCGGGTGCGGGAGAGCAGGGGACGCTAAGAAGGGGCAGAGGCAGGCCCAAAAAACAGGAAAACGAGAAGAAAGGCAACGAGAAAATTGATATAAGAGCGTACTTGCAGAAAGAAGAGGAGAGCAACGAAGCTGGGTTCGCGAAAAGCGACAAAATCACGCGTTCACCACCGAGGAAGGCTGACGTAAGGGTCAGCAACAAAAAGAAAAAGAAGCATTGTGAGATAGTGCAGAGGACAGAGGATAAAAGGGAGGTCAGCGACGATGAAGATGAGGAAACCGAGCAAGAAGAGGATAACGGGAAAGACGTGGAAGAGGCGAAGGAACCGGAAGGTTAAACAGGCGAGGTCGATAAGGAATAAAACGGAGAAAAGATAGAGAAGAACAAGGATGGGAAAGGAGGGAGAAAGAGCAACAACAAGAGCACGAACACGAGAGACGATGGCAGCAACAGCGAAGGAGAAGAATTAAAGGAACTACAAAGAAGAATAAGGAAAATGGAAGAGCAGAGGAGGATAGATGAGCAAGCAGTGGAACAAGCAAAGGAAACGGTGAGAAGGGTAGTTGAGAAGTTTGACGGAAAATTGGCAGAGATGGAAAAACGAATGGAAGAAAGGATGAGAGAGCAAGAAGAGAGGTTAGAGGCGAAAATGAACAAACCGAAGAGAAACGGTAGATGTAGGAGGGAGGAAGAAGAAAAGGAGAACGAGAGCGCAGAACACGAGAGCAACGTGGAACAAGAAAGGGAAGAGACACAGCGACCAGACGACGATCAGCAAGGAACTAGGGATAGGAGCAACGCGGAAGGAGGAGAAGAGCCAAAAGTAAACAAACCGGACGCAATGAAATTAGGAGAGTACGAATGTGAAATGAAGGAGAGAAGGAGCAGAAAAAACAATGTATTTATTAGAGGAGTAAGGACTTCGGGAAAAAGATTAAAAGAAGAAATAGAAGGAATAATATTAGGAACTACAAGGAAACAGTACAATATAGAAAAGATGAAACTCTTAAGGGGAGGATTACTACTGACCTTCGAACACTTTAGAGATAAAATTGAATTTATGGAGCAAGCGGAAGACTTTGAAAAAATAGGAATAAGAGTAGAAGAAGAGAGAACACCTATAGAAATAGAAGTACAGGAATGGATTGAAACGATAGCAGAGCAGAAAAGGAAGAAACATAACCAAGTGCAAGTGGGTTACTTAAAAATAATAATAAACGGGAGGATGAGCATATGGGACGAAAGAAGAGGAAATATAGTGGAGACAACAGAAAGGATGTTTTTTCCGATCAGGAGAGAGGGAGAGGAGCAACTGGAGAGGAGAGGGAGGCCACAGCAGGGAAACAGGGAGCAGTACCACGGCAGAGAACAGAACGAGTATAGAAACAACAATTCCAGAAGATGAAACCGGCAGTTTGGCAGTACAGGAAGATGGCAAGGAGAAGGAGGGACCAGCGAGTGGAGCAACGGCGGACGAAGAGACCAGCGAGCAACGAGGGGTAGGTTGTAAGCGCGTAGCGTGGAATATAGCAGGGAGCAAAAATATATTAAAGTGCAGAGACTTTCTGAGTAAATTCGATATTATTTTGTTACAGGAAACGTGGGTAGAAGGAAGTAAAGAACAAAATTTAATCAAAAAATTGAACAAAAAGTGTAGATGGGAAACGAAAGCAGCCGTTAGGGTAAAAACGAGAGGCCGGGCCAGCGGGGGGGTTTCGGTGGGGATTAAGAAGGGCTAGGCAAAAACGCGGAGTTTAAGGAATGGGAATGCGGGGTAGTAATAAGAAATATTCCGTTAGGTATTGAAAAAATTGATGTAATGACGATTTATAATCATGCGAAAATTAACAAAATGATTAAGAAGCCGAAAGAATTGATAGAGGTGAGTCTATTTGACAAGAAAAAATTCATTATAGCAGGGGATTTTAATGTAAGGGTGGGGAACGAGCAAATAAGTAAGGGTAAAACGAGAAATTCGGAAGATAGAAAAATGAACAGAGAGGGAACAAAATTACTAGAAAGCTTGAGATATTGTAATGCGGAGATAAAAAACGGATGCACGGAGGGGGATAAAGGGGGAAGATATACTTTTATTGGGGATGCGGGCTCATCGGTCCTCGATTTGGTGGTGGAAGGGGGAACAGGATTAACAGAACTAGTAACGAGGATGGAAATAGTAACAAGGATAGAATGAGATCACCTGCCCGTAATTTTCGAGATAGGGAAAGAAGACCAAAGGGAGGGGGAAAGGGAGGGAAGGACAGGAAAAGTCACAGAAAGATTCATATGGAGGAAAGAAAAAGTAGAAGAATATGAGGATTTGATGGGGAAAAAATGGAGGGCGGAAGAGCTTAAGGGAAAAACAGCACAGGAAAAATGGAACTTATTGGAAGAGAATATAAAAACAACAGCCGAGGAATTAAAATTGAAATGGAACGGAGGGGGAGGGAGGGCGAGCAGAAACAAAAAAAGTGAAATAGGGGAACAGAAAAAGAAAGTTTGGAAATGTTTGGATAAGTGGAGAGAAGAAAGAACAGAGGAGAAGAGAGAGGGGTGGAGAAGCGAGAAGATCAAATTGAAAGAGATGATAGCAAGAAAGATAAGAAATACAAACGAGGAAAAAATCGAAACTATGGCAGCATGCAGGGACATGGGGGAATTTTGGAAGGTAATGAATAAAGAAAGACCGAGGAGGATCAGAAGGAGGGGAACCATTAAAAAAGAACAGTGGGCGGAACACTTCAAAAATTTACTTGGAGCAACAAGAGAGAGAAATAATAGTACGAGTAGGGAGGAAAACGCGAACGAGGAGAGAAACGCGAACGAGGGGGGAGACGCGAACGAAAAGGTGGAAGAAGGGGAAACAGAGAATATTTTAAACAGAAGAATAAAGGAAATGGAATTTAGGGAAACCTTAAAACAAATGAAAAACGGGAAAGCAGCGGGGCAGGACGGACTAACGATCGAATTTATAAAGGGGCTACCGGATATTTGGACAGAAACAATAATAGAAATTTTTAATGAGCTATGGAACAGGGGCGAAATTTTAAAAGGTTGGGAGATAGCGCGAATATATCCGATATTCAAAAGTGGAAACGAGGAAGAGACTAAAAACTACAGAGGGGTGTCACTTCTTGACGTGAGCTACAAAATATTAACAAAAATAATGGCAGGAAGAATTAGGGAGTGGGCAGAGAGTAAAAATATATATAGGGAAAGCCAATCAGGATTCAGAGGGAAAAGGGGGACGAGAGAGCATATCTTTGTAATGAACGCGATTATAGGCAATAAGCTAAAGCAGAAGGGGGGGAAATTATATCTAGGTTTTATAGATTTCAAAACCGCGTTCGACAGAATAAACAGAGCAAAAATGGTAGAAAAAATACAAAAGAAGGGGGTAAGAGGAAAAATGCTGCAGATGTTAAAAAAGATATACAAAAATACTTTGAATGAGATAATAGCTAAAGAGGGACTATCAGAGCGCTTCGAGACGTCCCAAGGGGTTAGGCAGGGATGCCCCCTGAGCCCTAGCCTATTTTGTTTATTTATCGACGATATAGACAATATCTGGGAAGAGAAAAAAGTAGGAGGAACGGTAGTGGGGGGGGGGGGGAATTCTACTGTTTAAAGTTCGCGGACGACATAGTGATATTGGCAGATAACGAGGAGGGACTGAGGGAAATGTTGAGGAAAACGGAGATTTTCAGTGACGAGATAGGGATGGAGGTTAACACAGAGAAAACCAAGTTGATGATTTGCAGTGAAGGAAGATTAGGTAGGGAGAGGGAATTTACTTACAAGGGCAAAAAAGTGGAGATAGTTAAAGAATTTAAATATCTGGGGTACTGGTTTACGCAGAAAAACGGAAATTCAACACATATAAACAAAATAACAGGGAAAATAACTAGAGCAATCAACGCGACATGGGGAATCGTAAAAAGAGCAAAAATTGAAAACCTAAAATAAAGGCTTTATCTTTTTGACAGCTTAATAAAAGCGGGGTGTTTATATGGGGTAGAGATCTGGGGGTGACAAAAATGGGAAAATCTTGAGAGGGTTCAGAGAAAATTTTTAAAAATGGCTATGGGATTAAATAGTAACACACCAAATTATATTGGAGCCATGGAAGCAGGAAGAACGTCGATGGAATTACAGAGAGCAAGGAGAGCAATGGGATACTTGGAAGAGATAGTACAAATGGAGGAAGGAAGATGGCCAAAAATATGTCTGAGAGAGGAAGTGAGAGGCATACTAAACAAAAATCCGACGAAGTGGGAAAGGAGAGTACAGAGGTGTTTAGAAGGAGTAGGGGATGGGGAAATTTTAAAAATGATATGAGACAAAAGAGAGACAGAAGAAGTAAAAGGTAAAATAGAGAGGGGACTGGAGAGAAAAGCAGAGCAGGAACTTCAAAGCTTGTGGGGTAAAATAGATGGGTCAAAATACAACGGGCTTTACAGTAAATTAAAAGAGACGGTGGGAGAAGAGGCGTATTGGGAAGAGAGGAAGGTTCCAGAGGGGGTAAAAGAGCAATGGGCGAGAATAAGGTGTGGGAATGTGGGCAGAGGGCAGGCGAAAGGGTATAAAGATAGTAAGTGTAGAATCTGCGGAGAAAAGGAAGAAAACCTAGAGCATATGATTGAATGTAGTAAGGCAAAAGAGGAAATAGGGGGAAGGTGGGTGAGGGAGTTAGAAAATCAGAAAATTACTGGCAGGAGAGAAGAGAAAGAGAATAAACTAATTAGAGCGCTAAAGGGAAGCCCGAATAGAGCAATATGCAACTATATTTACATGTTCGAGAAGTTGGCTAAATCGAGGGGGGATGAGGGGTATCCTGAGTAAGAGTAGAAGCGAGCTTTTGAAAGGTAGGGTAGGAGAGAGGGAAAGTATGCGAGCGCGAATTTGGAGATTATAACAATAACATTATATTATTATAGAAGTAGCAGACGTAGTGTTAAGTGTTAGTTGTAAGTATAGATGTAAAAGTGGAACATTATGTAAAAGGCCGTGAAGGCTATACATTGAGCAAATAAATATTATATATATTATATATATTATTAATCATTTGTAAAACTTCCTTAATTTTAATTGATTTGGTACTTATACTATGTTAACCCTCCGGAGTTTCGAGTAGAGATTCTTTTTCTTGTTCGGTGATTAATCTTTGGTGAAGTATGAATACTGTACAAAGATGGTCTGAGAACGATTCAGCTTTTTCCTCGTTGGATTTTGCCCAGTTTCTTGAAGGCCTTCTGATAGGTGGCATAAATATAACTGATCTTCTGATTCATTTGGTAGCTTTCTATAGTGAATAATCTGTTGCTTCTGTCGGATTCGGAGTTTTAAGATATTCCTGCATTTTTACATTTTTTTCTTCATATAACATTTTCTTCCGTTCTTTGGATACTTTATTTATTTTTGTCTTATCTTGAATCAATCCGGTTTTCTGGTACATTTTAAGTAGTAATCTCTTTTCTTGGATTTTTTGGACTATTACATTGGAATTGGTTTGCTGTGTTTTATTGTTATTTGTATTAGTAGAAAATTTGTGAATAGATTCAGTCAGAATTAAGTTGAGTGAATCGATACTGCTTTCTATGTTATTAAGAGAAACGTTACTCGATGAAACATATATATGTTTTCCAGTTAACTTTAGTGTGGTTGTTTACAGTATTAATTACCTATTAATGCCTAAGTATTCGACATGGTCTTTTTGCGGTATGTATTTATCATTTAGTGTAATAGATGGACACGTATTTTTACGGAGGGTGAATGTTGTGTGAACTGATTTACTTTCGTTAACTATTATTCTCCACGAGTTAAGCCAATTTTGGAGGTGATTATCTATCTAATTTTGAATTGTTTTGGATGCTGTTGTTGCCTCTGGTTGTACAGATAGAATTGCTGTGTCATCTGCATATGTTGCTGTCACGATGTTATTTTATATTGGTTGGTCTGAGGTGTATAACAAATATAGCGTTGGGCCAAGAACACTGCCTTCTGGTACTCCTGCCTTTATTAGATGGCTTTTTGACTTACTTTATTTTGACTTGAAATGTTCTATTTTGTAGGTATGACTGAAGTAGCTCGTAGTGGCGCACAGGGAGAAATCTCTTGAGCTTGCATAACAATCCTTCGTGCCACACTCTGTCGAATGCTTGTGAAACATCGAAAAATATTCCAGTGCAATACTTTCTGTCCTCTAACGCCTTCCTAGCCACAGCCACTATTCGGTTAACCTGCTCACACACACACACACACACACACACACACACACACACACACACACACACAATCTTGGAGTGACTATTCCTGAATCCGAATTGATACTCGGGGATAATTTTCCTGTTTGCTATTATTGGAGTGATTCTAGCTATTATTAGTTTCTGAAAAATTTTTGATAGT